ACTCTAAATGTCTTTGATGATTTTCAAATTTTTTGTTGACTTTATTTTCTAACACGTGGTTGATCTGCTGAATCAAGTTTGCGGTGGACAAACTAGGGGTAATTGTCACGTGCTGCTGTTGCTGTCTTAATCCCTTGTTTCTGCTCTTGTTTTCTTTCACAGCTTTCCTTAAATAAGGAATTTATCTTCCCACTGATTTTGTCATCCTATGTACTCCAAAATGGAGTGTAGTGTAGTGAAATGGCAGTTCTATTTGCTGCAAGCCATTTTCCGGATAATGGAAAAAAAGATCTGTTATTTTGGAAGGTTGCCCTTTCTTTTAGATTCTCTTTTGCATGTGTCACCATACTTTCTTTCTGCTATTTACCTTTTCCATTGTCATGGTTTTGGAATAAGTGACTTCTTCCCTTCTTTACATTAGATCTAAATTTTTTTGTTTCTACGCTCGTACTTTGTTTAATAAGACAATGGAAGAGCATAGAGACTCTAGAATTTAATGCAGCTTTGTTTTCTCTCCTGACTTGATATCCTGTTTTGTTGGTATAATTTTTGGTCTAAAGTCCTTCATTTATTGACTAGAAACTTCATATTTACATATAAAACTTGTAGTTATAAATCTTATAAGTATAGTTAATTATTGTGCACCTTTTGATAGGGTTATATTATCTTTTAATGGTTGTTAACCTGTCAAGCCCGCATGTTTCTCTTTTGGTAAACCCACTGCTTTTTTTACAATTGATTTACTGCCAATACTGATTTTTTGGGGCACAAATTCTGACTTAATCTTCTTTTCGAGTTAGGACTACTTCTTGAGTATTTCTATCAAAAGATAAAAGAAAAGATTCTAAAGAAAACTACTAGATTACTGATGGAAAAACTATTAATGCTAAAGGAATTATGCATCCTGGTTTTAACTTCTTTAATGGTAATGCTGAGGATGGGATTCCTCAATTTTAAGTCAATAGGATTATCAATTTATTAAATCTAGTAAGATGTTTTTTCGACTTTCACAGTAATGATAAATTTCTTTTTGTTTGGAGTGAATTGCTAAACTTTTAGTTTCCTAGCGATGTTCTTCATAAACTGATGTTATTTGCGATAGACTGGCATTTTTGGCTTCTCTTTTGACTAAGGCCCATGGTTCTTTTAAGGCTGATGTCTTTATCCACTGTTGCAAAGGAATTGAGATGTTATCCTGTCTTGATGCATCCTTCTTGTTTCTTTTGTTTTTATATTCATTGGAAGGAGAGATGGTTGCCATCTCTCCTGACATGGATGGAAGTGGCCTTCAAGCTTTCCTATTAGCACATGTGGTTAAGGCTACCCACTTTTTAAATGGATCTCTAACCTTGTTTCTTTTGTTTTCTCTGTATTTTGCTACTCCTTATATCTCCATCTCGTTTCTAACTTCTTTTCCCCTCTTAATATTGTGTCCTCTTTCCAAAACCTAAAAACTTTTTTCTTGATGGTGCCTGTGAATTTTATGAGTCACGCTGAAAAGTAGAATGTAGTTCAGATCACTATTAGAGTCGTTTTTTATCTTTTTATTAGATTAGATGCCTGGAGTTTCCACGATAACAACTAAGCTATGTATTTTCTGTTTCTTGATCTGCAAATTTTTAAACATAGAGTTCTGTGGTAGATTAACATCAAGCAGCAGTAAGATGTCAGAGACTTTGGTTTCAAAGTTACTTATTGAACCATGCCATATGCTTAAATACAAGGTAGCAGGGTGGCTTACACTTGAGTTTTTGGCTCAGTGGTAAGACTCCCATGTGGAGCTTCTTGTCTCTGGTTCAATTTGGGTTTAATCACCAATAAGGCACGCATGATTTATATTTCCCCATAGAACTACAGAAGCTGATTTTCTTACTATCTCAGATTCCAAGAGTTTCTTTCTGGTATTCACTTCTAATAGATTCCAACTATTTAGAGGAAACAGCATATGAACATTGTCTTTCTTTTTTCTTTGGTCCCAAATTGAAGTTGTTAGTTATTA